CAACCTGGCCCCCAGTGTCCTGGTCCCTTCTTTGTCCCCGTGTTGTCCCCTTGGCCCCTTCTCTGTCCCCATGTTGTCCCCTTGGTCCCTGCCACCCGTCTGGTGGCCACCAAGAGCCGATGCCAGCGCTGGCTCTTCCCGGGGACAGCCCCGACACCCGGTTGGTTGGGTCAACCTCAAGTCGCCAGCGGCAACTCGTTTGCTAACGAGGGTTAACGAGCTGTGGGGAAGGGGCTCTCCTTGGGGTGAAGAAAGGGAGAGCTGGGAGGAGCTGGTGGGACTGGGGGCTCCCTGTCCTTGTCATTGTCCTTGTCCCCATCATCATCCCTGTCCCCATCATCGTTCCTGTCCTCATCATTGTCCTTGTCCCCATCATCGTTCCTGTCTTCATCATCATTCCTGTCCTCATCATCGTTCCTGTCTTCATCATTGTCCCTGTCCCCATCATCGTTCCTGTCCTCATCATCGTTCCTGTCCCCATCCCTGTCCCTGTCATCATCCCTGTCCCCATCATCATTCCTGACCTCATCAACGTTCCCATCATGGTCCCTGTCCCCATCATCATCCCTGTCCTCATCATCATTCCTGACCTCATCAACGTCCCCATCATGGTCCCTGTCCCCATCATCATTCCTGTCCTCATCATTGTCCTTGTCCCCTTCATCATCCTGTCCCCATCATTGTTCCTGTCCTCATCATTGTCCCTGTCCCCATCATCATCCCCATCCCCACCATCATCGTTCCTGTCCCCATCATGTCCCTGTCCCCATCCCTGTCCCCATCATCATTTCTGTCCTCATCATTGTCCTTGTCCCCATCATCATCCCTGTCCCCTTCATCATCCTTGTCCCCATCATCATCCCTGTCGCCATCCCTGTCCCCGTCATCATTCCTGTCCCCATCATGGTCCCTGTCCCCATCCCTGTCCCCATCCCGACCTCATCCCCATCTCCCCGCTTCCTTTTGCCCCCTGCCCGTCCCCACCATCACCCACGAGGTCCCCAACCCCCTGTGGGGACAGGGGGGGACATCTCCCTCACCCTCCCTGGAGGACACCCCTCCTCTTCCTCCACCTCCAGCCCTCACCGAGCAAGAGCAACTTGACCGTCTTGGCCTCCTTATCCGCGTCCTCCTGGAGCTTCTTCTCCAGCTCCTTGGACCTCTTGGCCATCTCCTTGTCCTCGGCGCTGGCCCCGCTCCCCATGGCTTCGTCTTCCTCCTCCTCCTCCTCCTCCTCTAACGCCTCGAGCTCCTCTAGGTCCCCGGGCTCTTCCAGCTCTCCGGGGGGGACGGCGGTGGGCGAGAGAAAGGGGAAAAAAGAAAGAAGAACCCCCCC